TTTTTTTTCTTATACATTTTGAATATGTGACCACAAAATAAGCCTTTTCAGAGGCGTCTACGAAAAAGTGTAGCTCAAATAACTTGTCTTTTTTCCTTAAATGAATTGTATATTTGACGGGAAACTTCTACATCCGTTTCTTCACATTTATTTTGTTCCATTTTTTGAAAACTTTGTCTGATAAGACATGATTCCAGCTGTAAGATCCTTTCTAAAATGATTGTTGGAGAATCTTAGTTTTCAGGTTTGCACGAGTTAATAAGCCTAGCAGGTCGTAGTTCTAAACAAGTCTGGCTAAAATAGTCCTCCTTGTCACTGGTTCGTTATCTAAAATTCTTATAGAAAAACTTATTTTCTGTTCCTCCTCCAGGATTTGCCACGTAAAGACCAATGCCTTTTGCGTTTGATTGCCCACAAGACCTTCTTCAGTTATCATCTTCTGAAACTCAGGTATATTCGTTCCCGACATAGGTATTTTAAATGAAGCATTACCGAACGTTTCTCTAACAATTTGATACAATTGAGTAATCTCTTCCTGGCTTGTACAATCAGTAATAAGATTATCAATATAAATTTGATGCTGGATTTGCTTTAGTAGTTTTCTTCTTTCTTTGTCTCCTCCGGTCGATGCTTCTTTGAGAGATTTTCTTAGATAATAAGCTACTGTTTCTTTCAACAAAAAGGGGCTCAGATCACACCGAATGCGATTCTCTTAAATTGGTAAATTTTTAGATTTATAGATTTCAAGCTTTGCGAGGCTTTTTTCAGCTATAAAAATTTTGTCATATCCCGGTCCTTTTCATGGAGCTCGGTTTGGAGTAATGCTTTTTCGATATAAGCTACAACTCCGTATGGGTATTTCCTAAAAAGTAACGGAATCCCACACAGTTCCGGTAACATAACCGATCCCCTACAAAGACTTTCATTTGAGCTTAGCATTTCCTTATCTGATTTAGCTGACGCGTCGTAGACTATCCTTATGCTCGTTGTCTGTTTAGAAAGTGTAAAAACTGGATGATTAGGTAGGTAGGATACGTTGCAACTAGAATTATTTGAATCAAGCTTTTTAATGATATTTTCGGATTCCTGATCCCGAATGATTTTATCGTGCTGTTGTGACAGTCCTTCCTTTTTTAACCGAGTAAGCACACCTTTTAAACGTGAATAACATAACTGAATTTGTCGTATACTTATCTGGCCAAGTTCTTAAACGGCCAAATGACGATGTACGTATAATCTTCAAACTTTGAAGAGCGGTGAAATTGCTCTAACGCTTCATCGTCGTCCTCAGTATTAAGTGAATCTGTAATGCCTATTGTCGCAGAACTGGTTGACTTTTAGGATTGTAGTTTTAGAGGGAGCAATAAAGCCTGCCACGCTTGAGTCATTTTGTAAGCAATAAAATACCGAGATCCGCGATAAGAATTTTATTAGTTTACAAATTACGATAGCAGAGTGGGATGGGACAGAACAGTAACTGCCGCAAATTAGTCTAAGAGACGGATTATAACAAAAGGTATTAACTCTTTACCGGAAGGCGTAAAGAGTCGAGAGAGAATGAGAGAGGTTTTTTGAGAGTTTAGGTGAGAGAATCTAGGTGAACATTTTTGTCCACAATATTCGTTTCCTTATATACATTTTTCATTGTTTATGTAAAATAATGCAACTTTCAGTCTTCCCAATTATAAATAAAACAGTTTATAAAATATTGTAACTTGAGACTCGAGATCCCAGTTGTATCAGCCTTTTCCAGTAGGTTGTTTTTACTTCCGCTTCCGGAGGCTATTTGCTGACTCATTTTTTTGTTCTTTTACTCTTTTGTTGCGACTGTTTCTCATGTTACCCTTTGAATCGGCTTGTTTACATCTGACCGATTCGTTGGCTTTGATCGTAGTTTGCACTTTCTGACCATTTCGCTTCTATTTAGCGACACCTATGCTTTCCAGATTTTAGAAGGATTCTACCGTGTCTGAAACATTCTAACGTGGAACCACATCCATGGTACGCGTTATATCGTCCCTTTCCGCCCTTCCG